AGAGAGAGAGAGAGAGAGAGAGAGAGAGAGAGAGAGAGAGAGAGAGAGAGAGAGAGAGCGCGAGAGAGAGAGAGAGAGAGAGAGAGAGAGAGAGAGAGAGAGAGAGAGAGAAAGAGACAGAGAGAGAGAGAGAGAGAGAGAGAGAGAGTGGGAGTCACAACGATATACATGTCGAGAGAAAGTGGCACACACCCACAGACACACACACACACACACACACACACACGCACTCACACGCTTATATATATATATACATATATATATATATACATATGTACACATATGTCTGCATGTATGTACGCATGTGTGTGTATGTACATACACACTCGGATTACACACTTGTGTATATGCAGGTTCGTACACAGCCTTCAGCTATACTAGAACTCCATAGAGTTCTACACTGCGCAGTAAGGGCGTCTTGTGCAGAGGTTTCAAGATCAGAGACTCCAAAATTGGTTTCTCTGCTTTTATCTTTCACGCGTACAGTTGGTCTGTACCGTAAGCCCCAAGCCCTAAACAACACTGTTCTACGAATTGAACCCCAAAAGGAGCAATCCACTAAGCCCCTGATGCCTAACACCCCAAACCCTTAAAACAACCCCCCCTAAACCTTGACGAACTTGTCTGGAACCTTTTAGAACCTTCTAGAACACTTCCAGGACTTCCAGGTTCTGACCCGTTGAAATCGCAAGGCACCGAGCCCATCAAAGCCTGCGACGATCCGTGGCCCAGGCAAAATTCCATGCCTACGACGACGGCAAGAAGAGATTTGGCATGTTGGTAGTTCTCTAACTTATGTCCCTTCTTTGCGGTACCAAAAATAGTACGGTACCCGTATTAAAACAAAAATAGTACGGCACCCTTATAAAACAAAAAGGACCTTAAACACGGACCTCAATTTATAGAACGACCCATGTTGAGGGAGCCTTCAGCCTCTGGGTTCTGTAAGTTTTGTGGAATTTACTTACCTATATCAAAGGGGAAAAGGAGGGACCCTTAAAGGGATCTATAGGGATTCTATAATAAGGGTATAGGGTTTAGGGGTTTAGGGGTGTTGGGGGGTTTTGGGGGTTTAGGGGAAAAGGAGGGACCCTTAATGGGGACCCCTACCCCGTACTGGGCTATATAATGGGTATATAACAGCTATATTAAGGGTATATACCTAGGGGTCCTTATGAAAGGTCCCTCCTTCTACCCTTGGACTATAGTCTCCATTGTACTTCCTTTTTTGTTCAACCGGCTATATAGTAATATTAATGATCCTGTAAGGTAACCCTTAAGAGGAACTACGATGGAGACTCACGGTGGGGTCAAGGTTCTGTGAGTTTTGGGGCATCTTGGAGAGGATATCTATCAGGGTGCGATAGCATTCCTTAACGGGTTCTTCGGGTCTCAGGGTGTTGGGGCTTTGGAGTTTTAGCCGCTTCGGGGCCCTAAGCTCTAAACCCTAAGATCCCAAACCCTATAAAACCCCACATCCTAAGCACTACAACCAAGTTTTTGGGGTTTTGGGGCTTCAGATCTTTAACGCCTCATGGGCTTCAGGGAAGTTTAGAGTTCAGGCTATTGGGATTTTAACCAAAGGAGCTCCCAGAAGCAGGGCATGAAAGGTGCTAGGTTTCAAGGTCATAGGAGGTCCAAAGGGGTTTTAGCCTATGGGGGTTTAGTGGGGATTAGGGTTCCCATAATAGGGTTCATATTAAGGAATCCCTACCCCAAGAATCTTAAACCCCCCTTTTGGCCTCCCATCAGAAGGGGGCCCCCACCCTGTAATAGTGGTATAATCCCTAAGGCTCCTGGACCCTTGGAGTGAGGTCCCAAACCCTGGCCCCCAAAGCCAAAACCCTCCCCCAGAAGGCCGAAGACCTTGTTTGGAGCCGTAGGGATAGGAATATAATAGGGCCCTTATGTAATCCTTATAGTCACTATTACAGGGTAGGGGCAGCTTCTAAGTGCTATGTATTCTTGAGGGTTTAGGATTTACCTGGACCCTATAAAACCTCCCTTTCTAGGGCGTGCAACCATGATATTTTTGTATAAGTCCTTAAAAAGGTAGGTGATGTGGGGTTTAGGGTTTAAGGGCTTCAGGGTTTAGCGTGCATTTTCAGAAAGTTTGGGATCCAAATATGGAGTCTAGCCTGCTCGAAATACTAGGATGTGACTAGTATATACGTTGGCCTTAAAGTAGTCCTTATTCAGGTATTCGAGAACCAATGAATACACTAGTTGGGTACATGGACCCTTAGGGTTCAAGTCTAGCTTTGCAAAGAAGCCGAAGTTCCACCAGCGGCACCCTCGACCAGAAGATGGGATTGTCTATCTTCTCGCCGCTGGGTTCCTTTAAGGTTCTGTAGCGTTTTCTTTAAGGTGGCTTTAAGGGTTTTTGTTGCTGGGTTTTTGCTGGTGGCCCCTTCAGCGTTTCTGAAAGGGTTACTGATACGGCAAGTTTTTTATAAAGGGCTTTAATTTCTTGAAGGGCCCATAGGTACTTCAAGGCCAGGTTATATACCCAGAAGGTACATGGACCCTTAGGGCTGTAGTGGCGTCAGTCTATGCAGACTAGACAGATCGGGGTATGCACCGTTTTATAGGAATTCCTGTATGGGCACATGCCCTCAGAGGAGGACAGGCCCTATAACCTGAATGCTTAAAACGAAATAAGACCTAAGTTGAGAACATTCCCCTCATGCAGGTGCGTATCTAGACCCCCACAAGCAGGTAAAATAATGGCCCGAAGCCTATAAAGGGCCATTATACTACATACTTTTGGGGTCCAGGTAGGAGCCTGCCCAAGGAAGTGTATCCACGTTGTTGGCCCTGACTTCCGCAAGCGCGACTACACACGCGAGGAGGCGGCCGCTGAGCCGCGTTTTATTCGGCTGGCTGGGTTCCTTAGCATAACTATAGTATACGGGGCACCAAAACCCTATTCTCAATCTTAAGTCCCCTACATTATAGTATAAATAGGCGGTTGTGGAGGAGGAAGGGTTTTATGGACCTAGGGTTTAGGGTTTGGGAAGTCATGTTCTAGCGTTTGGGGCCTAGGGTTACGATTTATGCGTTGGGGTTTAGGGTTAAGAAAGCCTGAACATTTCCAGACATGTGTCCTCCAAGCCACACGGCCCAAACCGCTACATAAGCCGAATCGTACCCAAAAAACTGCCTTCAGGATCGATGTAGGGAATCATGACAAGGAGACCTAAATATGCAAGTTTCTTGAGGGCCCGAAGCAAGCTGACACCCTGAATCCCAAAGCCCTGAGGGACTTGGGAGTTTGCGACCAAGGTTGCAGAGCTGGCAGAGGCGTACTTCAACGTCTTGGTGGAGCTTCTCACCAGCAGAACCTATAACGTATCTTAAGGATTTAACCCCATGTCAGGGTTCGAACATCCACCAAAAAGGTATTTAGCCATTTACCCAACTCATCATAGTAATTTCTACTATAGAAAACCTACTGTCTACGATGTACTTCGGGCCCTTTTTGGCCCGAGAGCAGTCGTCTCGACTCGTTTTCGGATGTGGGTCCCTTTTTGGCTACCCTAAATAAGAGGTGCCGTATTATATTAAGGACCCAGAAAGGGACCCTGATTTTGACAACCAGCCATGTGTTGCTTTTGCTTGGTAGGTATTTCGGTGTAGCCTGTCGGCTCGAAGTGTTGGGGCACAAGGCTTAGGGACTACCTGGACCCCAAGTAACCTACCGGTTTAAGGGTTTCCGCAAGGAAATCAGAATAGGGGGCCCTTCAACAGAAGGTTCTCTAGAGTCCAGGTAGACGTGACGGCTTATCCTTAAGGGTTTGGGGTTTAGGTCTTCCCCGAACTTCGCATGATCTTGTCATGATTCGATTCTGATAGCAGCATATGCGCGGACGACCGCAGCTCACCGAGCGCTTGATTTTGTACTACGTGGGGATCCGATAGCCTGCCGTTTGTAGCTGAACCCAAAGGGTCCTAAGAATCTCCATAGTACAAAGCAGGCTTTCTATAGTCGGAATTCTCATTATGTTTGGGCATGTACCACCCATATCGGTACTCCGGACCCTGTCGGGATGTATACTTGACACTTTGTGAACACGCTCCCCGCGGCAAGCACTCTTACTCTTATTGTTGTTGAGGGGTAGCTATTCTATGAACATGTTCCCAGAGCCCCCAACCTGTGAACCCTAAACCCTGAATCCGAAACCCTAATTAAGCCCTAAAAAACTGAAGCAGCAACCCTAATACCCTGAACCCTAAATCCTTAAACCCTAAACCCTAAATCTCTAAACCCTAAACCGTAAACCCTTCAACCCTAAACCCTAAGCCCTAAAACCGGCATGGAGTCGGGAGTCCGAGCTCGTGGCGATGCCAACCCACCGACTGCGATGTCCAGGACGGTGCTGGAAATCAGGATGCTGTCGCTACTTGGACCCCAAAATTTTTTTTTTTATTTGTATATATATATATATAGAATGATAGCCTTTTTTTATAGGTTTCGGGCCATTTTTTTACCTACTTTTTTTGGGGGGGGGGGGTTAGGTAGGCGCTTGTCGCTAGGCGGTTCCTGCAGCCGAAAGGGCGTGCTTTTTTTGGGGTTCCTTATTATGGCTTCTAGGGTTTAGGGTGTAGGGTTTAGGGTATTATGGTTCTATATTATATATAGTTTCTTAAAATGGTAGGTCTTTTCGGCTGCAGGTTCTGGAAAGTTGAGTCAAGGCTTTAAGGTTGGATAGTGATAAGTGGAGTTAGAAGTCCCCGAATATGGGTTATAATCCTAGTGACCTTACTTGTCGCCCCACTTATAGCTACCCTTGAACCTCCAAGTAGGCGGGTCTGGAAAGTTGAGTTGGGAGGCTCTATGTCCCTTACACACTGTATGCCTCTAGGAAGGCACTATCGCTATCGCATGTGTGATAAAGAAGGAACGGCGTTTTTGGGTGCCCAGGTCGGGGGAGCATGTTGCAAGCATACCTTCGGATGGCTTGAGCGATGTGAGGGCATTGAAACAGCACTTGAACCGGATGCACGGAATGCCCACGCGATTCATGCAACGACTGTTTTCTGGCGGCACGCTCTTAGACGATGCCACCAAGCTGGACTTCACGGAAGAACTGGAGCTTGTCCTGCTTCCGCAAGCCATTCCATCCCACATGCAACTAGGATGCCCAGTAGTACCCTTATTCCCTTTTGTTAGTCCTAGGTTCCTTATAAAGTTACCCAATACCAAAAAGTGAGGCCTTTTTATTCCTAGGTTTCTGGGCATCCTAGTTTAGGACCCATTTTAAGGAACCCTAAACCCCCATAGATCCCTTTAAGGAGCCCTTCAAGGACCCCTAAACCCCCAGAGACGCCGGTTACTGGGCATCCTAGGCAAGCTTCTGAACTGCTTACTGGTGCCAGGAAGGGCTCCTTCGTCGAGGTTCCTTTGTCGCAAGCATCCTTCTGACTTTACTTGGAGGTTCATGGGTAGTTATAAGTAGGGTTATATGTAGGGTAACTATGTTTATAATCATAATACAGGACGTAGTTTTTATAGACATCCTGCCCGATTCATTCGGCAAGCAGTTTTGACAGCCTGCAGGTGGAGTCCTTGTTGCAGCAGCCTTTGAATCCAGACATTGGCGATCGGTTTTCCAGAACCCCGCTGATGCATGCATCTGAGCACGGCCACATCAGTATTCTTCAGTTGCTGCTGGAGGCCGGTGCGGACAAGGAGTTGAGGGACTGTGACGGCAAAACTGGCCTGATGATAGCATGTTTTCGTGGCCAAGCCGAGGTTGCACGTTTGCTCTTGGAGGCGAGTGCTGACAAGGATTCAGTCGACAATAGCGGCAGCACCGCCCTGTTTGGTGCTTCAAGTGTAGGCCACTCTGAAGTTGTACGCTTGCTGTTAGGGTCCGGTGCCGACAAGGACGTCGCCAACAAAACCGGCACCACTGCATTGATGCGGGCTTCCGAAAATGGGCAAACTGAAGTCGCGTGCTTGCTATTGAAGGCCGGTGTTCTCAAGGATGCCGCCGACAGAACAGGTGCAACCGCCTTGATGCGCGCTTCGGAGGGAGGTCATCTAGGAGTCACTCGTTTGCTGTTGGAGGCTGGTGCCGACAAGGACTTAGCCGACCATGACGGCGACACTCCCCTGATGCGTGCCTCTGCTAACAACCACATCGAAGTCATGCATTGTTTGTTGGAGGCCGGTGCCAACAAGGACCAAGCCACTTCTGATGGTACCACTGCGTTGATGCAAACTTCTTGCAACGGCAATCTGGAAGTGTTGCGTTTCCTGTTGGAGGCCGCTGCTGACAGCAACTTAGCCAGAAACGACGGCCAAACTGCTTTGATACTGGCTTCTCGACGAGACCATTTCGAAGTTCTACGCTTGTTGCTGGAGGCAGGTGCCGGGAAGGACTTGGCCGACAATATCGGTGCCACTGCCGTGATACATGCTTCTGGACGAGGCCACATTGAAGCTCTGCGCGTGCTTCTGCAAGCTGCTGCCGACAGCAATTTAGCCAGAAACGACGGCAAAACTGCCTTAATGATGGCTTCTCGATCAGGCGCGGTTGATGTGGCACATTTGCTGTTGAAGGCCGGTTCCGACAAGGATTCAGCCGACACTAACGGAATTACTGCCCTCATGTGGGCTGCAGATCATGGCCGTGTTGAAGTTCTGCGTTTGTTGCTGGAGGCGGGCGCCAGCAAGGACTTGGCGGACGGTATCGGTGCTACTGCCATGATTCATGCTTCCGGACGAGGCCACATTGAAGTCGTGCGCATGCTTCTGGAAGCTGCTGCCGACAGCAGTTTAGCCACCAACGACGGCCGAACTGCCTTAATGATGGCTCCTTCACGACACAAGATTGAGGTGGCGGATTTGCTGCTGGAGGTCGGTGACGGGGGTTCCGCCGACACCTGACCAGCTTTAGGGTGTCCAGCGTGCGCTGATGGGTGGGGCTTGCGCCAAGATCGTTTACATGGTTTAGTGTGTCGGGCTTTGGTTTAGTGTTGCACAGGGTTAGGCTTAGGGTTGACGTGCCGCTTGTAGGTCATTAAGGGGGCCCTTCTTGCCCGTGTTCACATCAAGTGCCTTGGGACACTGACGTCGACATGCTGGACGTAGGGCACGGTGAAGACTGCAGAGACAATTTCAGAAAAGGCACCGACAGCAAGTCCACCTTCCGGGGTTTGGGGTTTCGTGGTTTAGGGCTTAACGGTTTAGGGTTTTGAAAGGTTCATTGGGAGGTTATAAGTCATAAATCCCCTAATATGGGTTATAACTTACAACCTAAACCCTAAACCCTGAACCCTAAACCCTAAACCTATAACCATAGGACCCGGATATGTAGCCAATAGGCATGGGTCCCTATCACTGGAGCCGTCAACTCTCCTAACCCAATCCGTGACTCAGTACCCGGACCCCGAAAGCATGTAGAATAATAGCCTTTTCGTAGGTATTGCGCCCTTATGTTACCTACTTTGGGGGGTTTAGGTAGTAGAGTAGGTAACCTTCGACCGTTTCGGGGTACCACAAGTCCCTACATAATCCCAAATGTTAGCCTTTATAGTTACGAGGATACTGGACAAGTAAGGTCAGTAGTGCTGGGGCGTTGGTGCCTTCCTTTCTGCACCCCAGCACAAAAGTGACTAAAAACTTCCTGGCGTCGCAGGCCAGGGCTATCTCATGTACATTGGGCTACGTAGCATTATAGCACGGTAGTTCAGTATTTTCTAGTATTTAGTGCAGTAGCTCATATTATATCATAGCCTGTTACATTATGTTGTACTGTATTATATCATTTCATATAGCTTAGGCTAACTCTGCAATGTCCTTTTGAAGTTGGTGTGTGGTGTTTGTGTGCCTTCCCTGCTTGAGCAATTGACAGTACGGCTGCATCCGTTGGTTGTTGGGCTTTGTTGTCGTTGCTACCCGTTTTGAGGCTGAGTCTCCATCGACATGTGCTTTGAGTCTATTTGTGCTTGGAGGTCCCACTACATTTAATCTATATATATATATATATATATCGGCTTGTGCTGTATTGCATCTCAGCGTAAAGATGTCCATTGTCCCAGAGGGTCCATGTACAGTAGCGCAGCGGATTAGATCCCCAAGACCATAAGAGGGGTGGTCTTCCTGGACCTAATTCCATAATTGTCGTCTAGATGGACCCTAAACCCTAAAGTCAGAGGCCCAACACACTTCAAAAAGAAAAGCACCTAAATGGTAGTTTCCGAAAACAGGGGGGGCCCCAATATAGCACCCTGAATAGTAGGATCCTTAACATAAGGAGCCCAAATAAGGTACCCTATAAGGAGCCCCAAATAAGGTACCCCCGAATTTTCGGAAACTCCCAAATGGACCCTCCGGGTCTGGTTCTCAGGATGTATTCCGGTTCGGCGTATGGTTTATGCAGGAAGCTACTTAGAGGATCCTGGGACTTAGTAACTTGGGCCGGGTAATAATTAGGGTAACCATACTTATAACTACTTATAACCCCCATCAAGGTACTTCTAACCTTACTTACTAAGTCCCATGATCCTCCAAGTAGACCCTAAACCCTGATAGATCACATTGTAGGAAGCCTTATAGCTCTCTTTTAATGGAACCCTGAACTCTAAGGCTCATCTCCAAGTAAGGCCGCGGGCTTCGTCGTTTTATGTGATCCCCGGGGCGAGATTCGTTGCGGTGGGGGGGGGGGCGGTCTTCTGTTTAGGGTTCCGGGGTTTGGGTTTAGGGTTCCGGGGTTTAGGGTTGAGGGTTTAAGGGTTTTCGGGTTTAGGCTTACGCCAGGCTTAGGGTTCGAGGGTTTCGGGCATTTTATGGCTTAGGGCTTAGGGGGTTGCTTTCGGGTTCAGCGAGGGTTTAGGCGAGACTGGAGGGACCCAGATAGTTGCCAATCTTACTGAGGGTTGCTTATACTAAGTGTAGATAGTAGACCCCAAAACCCTACTCTAACTATTGTCGCATCATCCGCTGTGAAACAAGAACAGATGACCGAAAGGGTAAGTCCCCAGACCCTATGACGAGCTGCTAGACCCCAAATCCTGCAAATTAGGCTGCATACTGTTTGGGTCCAGGTAAACCCTTGAGGGACCCTTCGAATAAGCCCTAAAGCCCTCAACCTAAACCCCGCTAAAGGCCTAAATTCCTTCATTTCCGAACACTTGCACCCTAAAACACTAAACCCCTAAAGCCCCTAAACCTTAAAAGCCTAAGCTCGTAACTTCCTTAGGCCTTGAAACCCCTAAAGCACCTAGACCCTAAACTCTAACTAAATCCCTGAACCTCCGAAACCCCTAAACATCCCCAAACCCAAGCCTAAAAGCCCTTAAGCCCGCAAGCCCTGAACCCTTAACCTTTAAACCTTAAACCCCCTAAACCCCTAAAGACCCAAAACTCTTTGAGGTTTTGTGGCACCGGCCTCAACAAGCTCCGGCTGCTCCCTGTGAGCGGCGGCATCTTCAGCTCCTCGCCCGGGCAGAGAGCCCCAAAGGGTCTCCTTTGAAGGGTACTTCTAGGGTTCCTTAATGGGTTCCGCAAAGGGAATCTATAAAGGGGTTCTATATAGTTTGGGGAATTTAGGGCTCCTGTAAAGAGTACTACAGGGTTCCTTAAAGGAATCTGTACGTAAGGGGTCTGGATATATGTGGGTTGAAAGGGTTTACATAAAAGATCATGGGACTTCGTAACTGGGGAATTAAGGCAACCATATACTTGTGTGCGTACTTCAAACCCAACTAAAGTACTTATAGCCTTACTTGGTATGTCCCATGATCCTCCGATCAGGGTTGGAGGTTTGGGGGGTTTCGGGTGCGCTTCGGGGCGTTTTGGGGCTTTTGGAGTTTGGGGTTTAGGGGTCTGCGGTTGGTGTTCACGGTTCAGTCATGGTGCCGGATTAGGCGGTATAGTACTTTTTGGGGTTCTTGAGTTACGGTACGGTCTATGTAGAATCTGAGTTCAAAGGTTACATAGTGCAATGGTGGCAGCAGTGTAGAGACGAATGCTCTAATTGGCATGTTGAAGACTCTCCAGGTCCCCTGATTGATTCTTCAAGCCTGCCGGCTACCCTTAGCCCTTAAGCTTGGACCCTCTACCCTAAATCCTAAAATCCGCAATCCCAAACCCATTCGGCATAAGACTGGACGCGCCATGAAGTCGGTTTGTCCATCCCCAGCAAGAAGGACAAGACCTGCAGAGCCCAAGAGTTTGGGGGCTGGGCTGGAGGGCCGAAAGACCTTGCTGGCCTTGCTGTAGAGACTTTACGGGGCCCTGATCTTTGGGGTTTAGGGTTTAGGGTTCCTTTAAACAGGTCCATAAGGGGATCTATAGGGTTTAGGGCTTAGGTTTTATGGGTTTTGGGGTTTTCAAGGGGTTTATGATTTAGGGGTTAAGGTTCAGCTTATTGTTCACAGGTTTGGGCACAGCAAGCTGTCGATACGAACTGGCACAGACCGAAACAGGGCAAGAAGGGGTCCAAAGAATTGCCATAAAAGCAGCTCTTCTATAGTGCGCTTCGCAAAACCCTATTCTGATCATTGAAGCCCCTCTGTGCTGTTCAACCTTGAAATGATCCTGAGAGTAGTTTCTTATAGAATGACCTTACTACCATTTTTTCAAGGAGGCCGCTTTCCACGCTTGCTTAGCCACTCGTTAAAGCCCCAGGCGGTCCGTTCAAAGCTGAGCTGCCAGCGCTTACAGCTGAGGCCCTGGAGGCCTTGCGGGCAATTTCTCGGGTCTATCAATCTATCCCTTGGAGTTTGGGGTCTGGGGTATTGTACAGGGTGGTCTTTGTTTTTGTTTCTGTTAGTTTTTGAAATGGTTGCAGACGTTAAATCCTACAGCTCAAACCCGTTACAGGTTTGGGGCTTCTGGGGTTCAGCATGGAGGACCCCGCACCCAACTCCTCTCTCTCTCTCTCCCCCTCTAACCTTCTCCGACCTTCAACCCTCCGCTAAACTAGACCCTCAACCCCTAAACCCCCTTAACCCTAAAGCTGAAGATCCTGAGCACGGAATTCGAAACTCGCAAAGCCGTAAAGCGCCAGACCGAGAAACATGGCCAGCACTAACCTAGACCCCCAAAAGTAGGCAAAATAATGGCCCAAAATATACAAGGCTTTTATTCTACATACTTTTGGAGTCCAGGTACGGAGGGTTTAGGGCCAGGGTTCCTTGGCATCGAAGAAGCGATGGACAGCGATTGACAAGAAACGGGTGATCTTCCGAAGCCTCAATGCACTACTGCGCGTGTCTTCCAGAAAGATTGAAAGCCCGTAAACATGCGCCCCTGCAACCCACACACAAATCTAAGATAAAGCAATCACGCAAAGCCCTACAAGACTCAACAAGGCAATCGTTTGTCCAGTGGGTTACTGCCCCTAAATAATCTTCGTACAATAGTAAGCTATGTTTTGGCAGTCTTGGCTTCTAATGGGCTATCAATTTTGAAACTACTGCCATTCCGTTGATTTTGCTTTAGCCTCGCACCACGCACCCAGTTCCGACCAGGCTGCCTTCAGCCGCCTCGCTCCAGCACAGCGTGACCAGCTGAGAATGCGACTTGATGGCTTTATGCGAGCCTGGTTGAGGGTTTGGGGTTTGCGGTCCCTAGCGTTTTGTGGGGTGGAGGTTTCAGGTTTTAGGCTTTTGGGCTTAGGGTTCAGGTTCAGGGCTGTGGGGCTGGAGTTGGCCAGTCGTCTTGTGTATGGACTTTTGGATTTGAGTTTTGGCGCTTGGATTGTGGCTGGGGATACTTCTCACATTCGCCTCAGGTCAGCACTACAAAAACTGAAGCACTCCGCTTAATGTACGGACCCGAATTAATTTCCATCTCTTTCCTCTGGGCTTCCTTTATCCCTAAGGGTCCATGTACTCATATAGTACATACATTGGCCTTAAAGTACTCCCTATATAGGTAGATTGGGCCCAAAGTATATGCTATATGGGTACATGGACCCTTAAGGAATTACAGTACCAATAATTCCCAACCCTACTCTGATGATTTATGGCCCCTGGCCCCTGTGTGGTAGTGCCTAGCTTTGGGTTTAGGGTCTTCCCGAAATCCTAGACTTAAACTTAATACCTAGACCCGTGTAGATCCCCCGAGTACCCTCCAATATACCTTTTATACCTTCGATTAAGGACCATAAGGGCTCCATTAAAGGGCCATCGTGGGGTCCTGTCTTGTAGATCCCTTTAAAGGAGCCCTGGAGCTGAACCTAAAATCCTAAACCCGAGGAGTTCCATCGAGATGTGCATCTTTATGGAATCCGAGGTGAAGGCCTCTTCCCGGGTTCCACAAGGGATTTAGGGTTCAGGAAACTCAGAGGGTTTAGGGTTTAGGGTTCAGGATTAGGGTTAGGGTTTAGGGTTCTTAGTAAGGCCAACCAAACGTGTGAGTCGGTGTGGTCTTCCATGCATCTTGTGCTAGGACTCACATGAGAGGCATACTTATGTAAAGGCTATCAGCAAACTTAGCAGAATCTTTGTGCATGGATGGATGGATGGATGGATGGATGGATGGAGGGAGGGAGGGAGGGAGGGAGGGATGGAAGGATGGATGGATGGATGGATGGATGCGTGGAGGCATGGCTGGATGGATGGATGGATGGATGGATGGATGGACGGACGGACGGAGGGATGGATGGATGGATGGATGCGTGGAGGCATGGATGGATGGATGGTTGGTTGGTTGGTTGCATGGATGGCAGCAAGCCTAGCGGACCTAGCATGAGTAAACCGTAAATGGTTTTCATCGTTACTGTCATGTCTACGTAGGTGTAGTTACGTTATGCGCCCTGGATCCCCAACATGCGAGTTTGGGGGCCATGGACTGTGCTGAGAAGACTGCCCGCTAACCTAAAACCTCAAATGTTTTGGACTGATCAGGCCGGTTCCCGCCAATAAAATATATGTACAGAAACGGAAAGTTCTCTGGCGTTATGGGGTTTCCGGGAGTGTTTTCTAACCCACTGCTCTTGTTGGAGTCTGGGAGTAATTGTGGGGATTGCTTTGCCAGTTCGCACCTCCGTCACAACACCGTACTTCCTAAGTTGCGGGACCTTGCAAGTACCTGATCCTTTAAAGGATCACAGAATGTTATAGGGTAACGAAACTTCTGATTACTTATGACCCCAATTAAGGCACTTAAAAACCAGGCTGACTGAGCCCTCTGATCCTCCAAGTAGGTCTGTTCCAGCGCAGGACTTCGAGGAATCCCTTCGCCGGTCCTCCGCCCTCTGATCTGCGAAAATCAGGGCCGAGGCGAAGAAAGCTGTAAAAGCCGGAGGGGCCAAGTGCTATAGGGGCCTAACCATAAGTGTTTAGGGTTCCTTCGAGGTTTAGGGTTTAAGGGGGTTAGCGGGTTTAGGGTTTAGGGTTTCGGGGGCTCAATAATTACCAATAATACTATTTTGTGGTTTCTTGTTTGTTAATGTAGAAGAATGTCCCAAAAACCTGTTTTAGATATTAAGCCCCCTATATTATCCAGCTCAAAGGGTCCTAAGTACCTACATCGTAGAAAATAAGGTTTCTATAATACAAACTACCATTATGATTTGGGTAAGTATCCCCCATATAGGTACTTAGGACCCTTTGGGATGGAACCCTACTGTCCCACGCTTATTCGTATCCGTACCTAAGCCTGAGCTACTCGACACAAATTCTTGTCGTTCCCCAGTGCAAACCACGTGGACACTTGCAAGTGTGGAAATGCATGCACATGGTTGACAAGCTAGCGCAGCGACCGTAGGCTTTTCCCCAGAGGTACAATTACCTAGTCATCATATACTCACCAAAATCCTAACTTACATTTCTACAATATCCTAAAACCGAGTGCCTAATTATTGGGTCCTTTGGACCCTCGGGGTTTATGGAGGAATACAGCCTTCGAACTCAGGGTTTCGGGGTTGCGACATCGTTGTCTAGTTTGTTATGGGGTTTCTGCTCAATCGTGCTTTCAGCGATTGGGGCCAAGAGCAAAGATGTTCGACACACCAGTCTCGTGAGGGATTGTGTAGCCCACTTCAGAAGTGTTCAAGCACGTCACTGGGCTACTGTCTACTTACTTGCTCGCTTGCTTATGATTGCGTGCAGAAGCTTCAGAGAACCCAAATCTCTACCCTCAATCCGCACCTAAACCCAAAGCCCTCAAGCCCTAAACTCGAACTTCGGAGATGAAGCAGTCGAGGAGATTGGCTCGAGAAGAAGCCTGCGCGACAGAGACGATGAACGGCTGTGATTTAGACTTGCACAGGACGTCGGAAAGGAAAGCAGGGAAAAGACAGTTGGCTTCAGGGTATAGGGATGGAGATGTACTCGATGACTGCTGGAAGTAGCTCTATGGTTTGAGTTTGAAGGGCATGGCTCATGAGCAGGGATCGTCATCCAGAAACAGCTGTCATGGCATGCGTTCGCTCAAGAATGGGAGATATGGTTGCTGTCCAACATCTGTAGATGATGGACGATGATTGCGAAACATAAACTCCTCCTGCGATTGCGCTTCCAGACTGATCCAGCTGCACACGAACTGCTTTGAGTTTATTTTCATGAGGCTCCAAGCCAGCAAGGTTCGAGGTCGCTGCTTGGTACCGTCAGGCTTGCATCGTGCCACTGGCTGTCAGCCCCGGACATGAGACTTGGTCATGTGCATTTACAGGACCTCTCGTTTAGACCGCACCCGAGTCAAGACTTAAGCACCCAGGACGGCATGGCACTGAAGCATCACAGTAACATTACGGATCAATCCCTCGCCAAGCTTGACCTCGATGACCAATTCTCGTCAACACACCTTAGACTGGGCATTCCCTCCTTTAAAGCCATCACAGAGCTCTTGGATTCAAGCGCTTTGTGATTGCTGTGAAATTGGAAGAAATGGCTTCTGTGACTTCCGCTGGGTCGCTCGACTAAACCAGTTGTCTGATTCTGCCAGTACAGGTTTCGACTATCTCGCCTCTCAAAGTCGCGGTCGTCCTTGTCACTTCCGGAGGGAGAGGTGTCATGCACTTTCTTGGAGCCAGTATCTCTGCCCATAGAAGCCGAGCTGGCTGACTGCTTAGAGGTCGCCCGATGAAGAATATTCGTAGAGATGAAGGTATGTTTTGTAGGATTCGGGAGGCCCTGCCTCTTCTTCTTACAAAGACATCCCTGGATACAACTATTGTGAATATACAAGGCATGGCTACTTCTACTACTACTTCTACTTCTCAGTGCAGTCTACTTCTACTTCTGCTCTTGCTTCTACCACTACCACTACTACTGCTGCTGCTACTGCTACTGCTATTGCTACTGCTACTGCTACTGCTACTACCACCAGTACAACGGCCAGTGCCAGCACTGCCGCTCCTGCTGCGTGCTGGTTCCATCACTACTATGACGACGGCATACGACGGCTAGTCGGCCAGTACTGCAGATAGAATACTTGGGGGGTCGGGGGACTTAGTAAGTAGTTAGTAAGTAGACTTATAACCCTAATTGGGGTTATGGTACTTATAAGTCCCTAAAATAACCAGTTACTAGGTCCCCCGACCCTCCAAGTAGATTCTAAGGAGCAAGGCCACGGCTGCCAACACCTACAACCACGTCACAATGACAACAACAGTATACGTACAACAGTCACATCGGCTCCAACACAGAGTTTATGCAACAGTACGAGAGATGGCTCAAAGACTCTGAGACAAAGAAGGCCATGCCTCGTGTCAAAATGTTTCGCACCCAAGCTACACGCGCCCATCTAACACTTCTCCTGAAGATCACACGCAGCATGAGAGCTGCTCGAGGAGAGCAGTTGAAGACCGAAAGTTTCAGAGCCTTCTGCTTTCCAGGTCCATTTGTGGTCTGAAAGTGTCGGCCAGCCCAGGAGCGGGAAGTCGCGGTGGGGTTGAAGTTCCAACGCAAGGGTTCAGGGTTTAGGGTTTAGGGTTTAGGGATGAAGGCTTCAAGAAGGACTGCAGGATGTGAAAGTGTGAGCCGTAACCTTGGAGTACGCGGTGAGAGCGCCTGGCAGCGTCTGGCTTCGCAGATCTTGGCTCTAACCGAGAGTAGTTGAATTTGCGCCGTTTCCTTCAGTTCACCGGACCTCACCTCGAAGGCGGCATCGCAGCATTAGCCCAAAATCTCCGTGTCAAGCTTGCCGGAGCTGAGGATGCCGCAAAGAGATGCAGCCAGCAAGAAGTTCGCAGAGGTAGTGCAGGAGATCGGCAGAAAATCCAGTCAGCCACATGACTCTGACGCAGACAAGACCTGGCATGGCCCTCAGCATCAGTATCGTGGGAGTTGTTTGATTCAGATCCCGCCAGCCGTCCTCCCTCACTTCCTTCACGACGAGTGGCCTGTCTGCCGAGGTTTGCCGAGATTGCTAGAGGTGCTACAAGCAAAGACGCCTTGGATCAATCCCATTCGCTGGATGACATGGATGCTGTCATTCGTCTTGTGATCCGCATCTCGCCTGCTGCAGGTAAGTAATTAGAGGATCTAGCTGAGTGGATGCTGTATGAGGCTGTGGAATTCGTTAAATTGTTTAGTGAAACCATCCGTGTGGTGTCCAGCTTTGCAACACAAAGCAACTGAAGCAGCTGCGCAACCTCATCACATGCCACGCATCAAGCATTACTTCATGAATTGTTTGACATTCTGAGTGTATTGCTTCGAGGGTATCAGTCATCAAACCCAAACCTCAGGCTCAAGGATTTTAAAATCTTCGTGGGCATGCAGGGAACTCACTTCAGAGCAATACGGAACCTCGCATGATCGTGTGGGTTGCCCACAACTCGATTCACTGTGCACTTGCACGCATGGGCTTGACGGGTCCAAAACCACTGTGCGTCCGACACTGAAGGCACCGACGATAATGTTGTGGAAGAGCCAGCGCATGTTGTTACAATGGCTGTAAGAGTCATGGTGCATACTAATCAATGGCCTCGTTAGATGAAGATGTAAGGGATGAGCTCTCTGAGTTGATCCTTGCGAGGCAGTGCACAACGACATGGTAACAGTCTCCGTGCGAAGGATTGCTTGGAGAAGATCTTGGCAAGCAGGCCAAACTATATCATAGCATCAGACCTCTTAGGATATATATATATACATATGTTTTTTTTTGGGGGGGAATCAAACTGATTGCCTTGTCCAGTCAATGGGCGGAAGCGGCTTGTCGTGCTGGGGATGTCGACTCCGATATCCATGCGCTGGTGACTCGCCAGCACGTCGCTGTTCTACGGCATAGCCGTTACAACTTCAGTTTCATGACAGCTTGCTGCGAAGGTGGGTCCTCGGGCTCAGGAGGACGAAGGCAGTCGTTCAGAAGCCATTTCGACAACGAGGTGCAGGTGCAGCGCTAGGTGCTTCATCAGTTGCACTTGTACATGTGCTCAGAGAAGCTGCCCCAAGCACAGGTTTGCCGCACTTACACGGGAGATTGGCGAGAATTTCAATCACACGGACGATCAAAGTCGCGAATATGTCCAACAAGAGACGTGCTGGCAGGGCTCCCGGGAGAATCTGGCATAAATCTGCATCAGCGCAGCACTTCCATTTGCCGTGCCTAAGCGGCTCACACGGCTCACTGAGGTTTGACCGAATCAGGTGCCTCATCTCTCAGGAGGAGGTTTTGGAGGTTGACTGCTCTCCCATGGCGATGGCAGCCACGATTCGTGTCGTACTCCGTGTCTCGTCTCATTAAGACGCGAAGAGCACGAAGAGTCCTAATTCGTTGTTGAATCGGCCCGGAGGTTGGCAAAGTACAGTAAGGCTCAAACTATGCTTGCAGAGTTTGCAACATGTGCTCCTCGTGTGTGCACACTGTGTTTTCCGGCTGATGTGCTTTGTCGGGTAATTTTCCGAGGGTCCGCGAAATGCTGCCATGCTTTCGCCAAAAGTCGTGAGCCCAAGGGATAGCATCCCAGTACAGTCATGTGTCTGACAGGCAGAAAGGACACCAATATGAAAGACCGCGCTCGTCACTGTTTACAATGGATGTTGAGCAGCAGGCCATGTCTTGGACGCATGGTTTGCGGAGACCATTAAGGATCCATTAAGGTTTAGCGGTTTAGGGTTTAGGGGTTTTCGGTTTAGGGTTTAGGGTACTGAACTGTCAACACATGAGAACGGCTGTTATCTGTTGGAGTGTGTGCGTGGCCTGGCCAGGCAGTGGGCAGATATCATTTCTGGGGATCGTGATCTGGAACGTATGGTCGAGGAGCTGCTGGCTGCTCGAACCTAATTACCTAGTAGTAGAGTAGGTAACCTTTAATTTTTTTGGGGTAATATAGTCCCTACAAAACCCCGATAAAACCAAAAAGGTTAACCTTTAGTTCCCCATGATACCCGACAAGTAGGATTAAGTTTCTCGGGCCTACACAGACATTAGTGAGTTGGAGACTTTATGGGTGAGGCATCCGACATGCAGCGAGGGAGCTCGCGCAACAGGCCTTCTTATGTTGAAGACGATGCATTGATAGGTTTTGGATTAAATTTGGATGATGTGGTGCACCGATGCCCGATTCTGCACGGAACCATAGCTTAAGGTTACTTCGCCCTTCAGATCTCACGTTACAGCACGGTCGATCTGTCCTTGCTCTTCGCTGTGTGTAGTGACATGGACATGTCAGACCAGTTTGACAAAAAGATGTTCCAAGTCGCGCTTCCCTGTGCATGTCCTTGGAGGTGCCGGAGAAGCTGCTTGCGGAGGTTTGCGATCCTGCTTTTGGCTTGCTGGGCGTGTGGGGCCCTGATATTGGCTTGCTTGGCATGCGGGTGGGGCGTCAACGTTGCCGTGGACCCACTCGTTCAGTGCCAGTTCGATATTGCATGCCACCAGCGGATGTTCCAGAACGTAGTTGTGGTCTGCATCAAGAAGTATGGGCTGCCACCGTCTCTCTCCTGCTTCGGAGAACAGTTCACACGGGAAGTCACGAAGACAGGTGTGGAGCATGAGAACATCCTCAAGAAGTGTGGGCTTGAAAGCCTGAGCTGCTACAAGGACTGAGACGGACTGAGGTAAGTTTGTGCAGTGTCTGAGTCACAGAGGTTGAAGTGTGTACTCGTGCAAGCCCGACCTCCTGCAGGAGCGATGCGACGTCAGCTCGCGATGTTGGCTTTGGGGTCCTGAGCCCGGCTGGCTTTCTGGTCACAATGTTTCTCAAAACCCCACTCACCATGAGAGAATCCGCCTGGAGCGTCGACCGTTGGCTTCCAACATGCGAGAGGACTTTCTGAAAATATCAGGAAACTTGCACAGGCCCAGTGTCGCCGATTTCCCTGGCATGCTTCAGCAAAATGAGGATGCAAAGGTTATCCTGGGACTGCTTTACAGATCTGAAGAGCAAGAGGTGCACAAAAATGCATTCGTTGCCAAGCAGGTCCAGAGCCTGGACAAGAACGGTGATGGTCATGTGACCGTAGATGAATACCAGAAGTTTATCGATGATCTTGCCAAGAAGCACCCAAAACTGTTTGCCTCAAGGCAACCCGTTGTGTTCATGGGAAACCCTGGGCGAGGAAAATCGACTCTTCTCAATGCTCTTGCTGGCGAAGCCTTGTTTACGGCAGGCCCATCACGCGATGGGAAAGGCGTGACAGCGAGCTTCACATCAAAAGATGTTTGTCAGAGAGTGGGGGACTACGGCTTCTGGACGCTGGTTGACACACCAGGTTTAGCCGACGAATCCTTGCGCAATGAAGCTTCACAACAGATCCGCCGTGCGTTGCGGAGCAGCAAGAACGAAGACGGAGATCTTGTGCCGCATGTCATTGTTTTCGTTATCACGTTGAACGAAGGTCGCATAATCGAAGAGGATAAGGCAACCATCAAGCTTATCTTGAGAGCGGCTCGAGAGATCACATCCTTCGGCATCGTCGTCAACAAAGAGTCGGCCGAGGATCAAGCAAACTTGACGTACATTCAGGCGCAGATATTGCTTGGCCTCGGAAGTGACACACGTCATGGCTACGTTCATTGGTTTCCAGATGTTCAGGCAGCTAAAAAGAAGGACAATTACATCATGAGTGACAACAGCAGTGAAGCTGGCAACCCGGTGACTGAGCTGTGGCGATGGATCGCAAGCATTCCCGCCGTCAAAGTGAAGAACGTTGAAGAACTCAGACTCGCTGACCTGGAAGATATGCTACAGGAGGTTAGAAAGGAGCTGAAGCAGGCGGCACATGACAAGCAGATCCTCAACGAGTTCATTAAAGACTTGAAAGAACAAAGAGAGAAAGATGCTCGAGACATGGAGGAGTTGAGGTCCAAGCAACAGAAAGATGCTGAGTTCATTCAAAAGTTGATGTCCGAACGTAATAAGTCGCTAGATGATTCAGTCAAGGGCAAGAAGTAACACAGCAACACGTTGTGAAAGCTTGACTGTCAGTGTCAAGTCTTGGGCTGTGACTGGGGCTGCTCAGAAGGGTGACTCTGACTCCGTATAAGAAGGAAGGCCGTTGAAGGCCTCTTCGAGCGACGCCGGAAAAAATAAATGTGTGCTGCACAGATGCCGTCGCTATGCCGCATGAGGCAGCCTCTTTGCAAAATGTCGTTTCAGGAGCCGCATGGGCGGGTCTGCAGCCGGGCCCTCGACTCGAAGCCACATTGGTGCATTTTCCCTTCTCCCGGCGATACCCAGGTCTAGCTGGCAGAGTCTTAAGTCGTTGCGCCGCTGGAGGAGCTGCTCGACTTTTCGAGAGTGCGAGATGGGTATAGTTTTCGTGTCGTAGATACTTGTGTTGCATGCGGCTTTCTGCCTGCAGGTCGAGGAACGGTCAATTCTGAGGGTGAATCGCCTGCCCGAATCTGCCAGTCAAGTCTCATCCCCAAGTCCGATCCCCAACTCCCACACTCAAGACAGCAAGCGCAAGGAGCTATTAATTTAAGGGGTCCCTATATAGGTACTTTAAGGCCTAAGTATATACTATATGGGCACATGTTAACTAGTAAGTAACTGGCCCAAACGGCCCGAACCAAATCCTGACAAAGCCTTTAACCGCTCGTCCCCATGACCCTTCAAGACTACCCTTGCAGTGTCCAGACAGCCAACAAGCATTGCTACTTTCAGGACGCAGTACCACCTCTCACCGACGGAGACCTGCCATTTGACAACACCCTCAAAACAAAGCTCGCAATTCTTTACACCGATAGGCCACAAACACTGAAAGAGTACAAGAAATGCGGACGGTGCACACCAAGGTGACGCACATAATGCAAGCACATAGTCGCTCATCATACTCTGAGGCCCCAAGGTCCAAGTACCCTTGTAGAGCTAGGAAGCTGCATTTTGCATTCGCAGTTGTAGTTAAGTGTTTGGTGGAGTGTATAGTGACTAATAATGTCTCATTTGCACTTGTAGGGATACACAGTCTGCCAAACCGAGGACTGATCCAGCACAGCTGGGGGTTGTGCTGTAATGAGTGATAATGAGCACCCTGTCTGGATTGTTGTGAAACTTGGCGCATGAGAGAGAGAGGCCGAACTTAGTACAACCCTGTACACCCACCCAAAATGGAGAGTATACCAGTAAGCGCTGGACATGTAAAGGTGCCGAAGCACGCTTGTCATCTTTGACGGACTTCTGTTGATGTAGCTCATAAAGCTCGAGTTTCTGTCTTGGCTTGTAGCCGGGTGTGCCGCAGAACTTGAAATCGATGCTTTGCTGGAGAATGCCGCCTTCAATTGCTCTGTGGGCGAGCTTTTCGAATTAGGGCAGCGGACGGCGGAGTTGAGCTTTAAGAAGGAAGTTTCCATGTTCTTGTTTGTGGTTTTGGGGATTTGTGCATTCACCATTATCTAAGGCCCTGATGAGGCTTATCGACCGGTTGTAAGTTTCTCAACTTCGCTCTCAGAGCCATGATCGTCATGGATGCCGTGGGAATTCTGCATTGCATGGTGGAGCGAGTGGAAAAAACAGGGCCGACAGGTCGGCAGGTTCGTAGGTGCTGTCGGGTTTACAGGCTGTGGGTTCTACAGGTCGCTTGTCTTGAGCTTTACACTTGCACTTAAAGGATCACGGGACTTAGTAATTGGGGTTATAATTCAGGTAACTGTACTTATATCTACTTATAACCCCTATTATGGCACTTATAACCTTACTTACTAAGTCCCATGATCCTCCAAGCAGGGTCAGGCTCCTGGACTGAATCCTACAGCCTGCGCCCATGAAACCAAGATGCATATGGGTGGTTGTCAAAATGATGGTCCTTGTTTGGGTCCCTAATTATAATACAGCACCTATTATTTAGGGTTCCCAAAAAGGGACCATACTTTTGACAACCACCCATATGAGTCCTTCGATGCATAGGGTTTAAAGGAACCCAAAAGATCCCCTATAGAACCCTTATGGATCCCTTTAAGGAATCCTAAAGGACCCTTTTAAAGGAGCCCTACAGATCCTATGGAATTTAGGGATTAGGGCTTGGGACGAGCGGCCGAGCGACACATCTCAACCTATGCTCACATACAATCCAAGGGAAAAGGAGGGACCGTTAATGGGGACCCTTTAAAGGGATCTATAGGGATTCTATAATCAGGGTATAGGGTTTAGGATTTAGGGGTGTTGGGGGGTTTTGGGGGTTTAGGGGAAAAGGAGGGCCCCTTAATGGGGACCCCTACCCTATAATGGGCTATATAATGGGTATATAATAGCCATACTAAGGGTATATACCTAGGGGTCCTTATTAAGGGTCCCTCCTTTTACCCTTGGATACAAGACCTGCAGTGTGAGAAGGCTCTTTGTTCTACGAAGTTGCGAGCGTGCTGTTGATGATATAAATCCTGCATTACCTTACGGACCCTAAACTATGGGAGTTATGGTATATTCCTTATTATGGGTAATGCAGGATTTATATCATCAACCGGTGGCTCATACATACTCTGCCTGCGACACCGGAAGACCAGCACCTGGCTGCCCTAGTTAGGCCCCTCGGGAATCAATCCCGAACCCTGAATCTATAGTACAGTATGCTTAGATAAATGCTACAAGAAAGGTTCCGAGCTAACGTCACGGTATCTACTGTAATTGCTAATTTCCCTTCCTGCCTAATGAAGGACTGTTGAAGCTGACACCTAGACTATGGTTTGGGAGGCAGAGATTCCGAACGTTCGGATCCACGTGCTGATCGTTGAGCCACCATCCCAGACTGGCCTTACATGGTCTTTGGATCAGGGTTCAGGGTCCTGGGACCGGCTAGGCTCGGTTTGGGGCTTTAGGGGTTCAGGGTTCGTGGGTTCAGGGTTTAGGGTTTAGGGGTTTACAGTTTAGGGTTGGGTTCAGGGTTCAGGGGGAAAAGGGGAGGTCTGGTCGGGGTTCAGGGCAGGCATTTCATCAGGGGGTTTCAAACCCTGGGCCTTAAACCCTAAACCCTTAAAGATCCCTGGTTATAGAGCCCTTATAGATCCCTTACAACACTTTCCTTGGAGGGTCGGGGGACTTAGTAAGTAGGTAAGTAGGTAGTAAGTAGACTTATAAGTGCCCTAAAAGGGACCCTGGTACTTAGAAGTCCATAAAATATCCAGCTACTAAGTCCCCCGACCCTCCAAGTATAGAACCCTTACTGATCCTCGTTGAAGGAAGCCTTACTTAAAACGCAGCTCAGGGTTTGTTGACGCTGTTCTACATAGGCTCAGGAGCCGGGAAAGCCCAAGCCAAGTCCCAAAACCCTGGTCAGGACCTGCCCAGACCTTCTAATGCCCCTTAAAATGGTTTAGGGATTGGGAAGGCGTCATTATTTGCAAAGGTTTCTTTAATGTGAACTCCGGATTGATAGCCAGCCTTTCCTTAGCGGCTTTACTTCATCTGATACCTGGTTTTTCAACACCCTAGTAAGTGACAGAAGAACTCCAAACCACCGCCATGAAATACCAAGGCGCAGAAGCCGAAATCGCAACCCATAGAATTAGAATCCTGGAATCTCCAGCTTCTATTTAGGGGTTTAGACTACACTTGACAATGCCTTTGTGGACGTGTTCCTCAAAGGAACTATTAACTATTATAAAGTGTATACCCTTCTTCGCCCTGCTTGTTCCAAAGTCCAGAACCCAGTAGAAGCCCATTGTATATGCGAAGGTTGTTTAAGCCATCATGGACACATTCGTTTAAAGAAGCAACAATGTTAATTCTCCTCAGGTCAACCTACGGGGTGATGAACCACGAGCCTCGGGACACTGGCTCTGCACTAGCCTAAACCCTGAATCCTGCACCCTGAACCCTAGCCCTTTACCGAAGACCCTAAACCTCCATAACCTAAACCCTGAACCCTAAATTCTAAACTCTGCGATGGGTGATGTTTCGGTGATGATGCATTGGGCTTGAGCGATGCGGTCTGTAGTTAGCCAGGATTTAGGGATTCGGGTTCAGGGCTTTTGGGGTTAACATTTTACCAGGGTAGTATTGGGTCTAATTGTGTGTTTTGGTTGTCATTATTTGGGTTGATGGGCTGTGTCCTTTGGCGGCTTGGAGTCTGTGCCTGCGCGACTATGATTTGCACCCAGAATATGAGAAAGGGTACAGCCGAACTTGCAGATGCAAGTTAACCACATCTTTTTGCAGGGGGCAAAGCGTTGATTTTGGGTAGTGGTCCTAAACACACGACCAACAAACCCCCATAGCTTTAAACCCTGAACCTACCAATCCAACAAAGAACATTGACCAGCAAATCATACAAGGAACGCTGCAGAGGCAGGCTTTTGGGCTTCAGGCCAACCGAAACCCTCGAACCCTTAAACTTAAACCTTGAACTAACCGTATACTGCCTGTAGGGTTCGTGGCTTTGGAGAGCCCGTTGGCAGCCTTTCACAATTCACTAGAAACTTTTATGGGGCCCACTGTAGTACAGGTATGAACTCTTCAGACCTCTGTCATATGTTTCACGGGCACGGGTACTGAAGTTCCGGTTTCAAGGTCCAGGGTTGAGGTCAGGTGTGGTCCCGGGTTACGGGCTTGCACGTCCACACCTAAACCAGTAGACGTCCTCGAGGGCGGCACTTTCACCGGGGCACAGCATACCCGAAACCCTGAGCACGAAATCCTTATTCTGACAAGCAAAGCTTGAGTCGGTAGTGTCTTTGTCAAGGCACATACGCATGAGGGCATCGATGGCTTACCTACAGCTCTGTTTTGCAGAACGGAAGCCCTTTAGTTTAATTGCTTATTTAGGATTTACGAGTCCGATTTCTGTACTTAGATCCCCAGTACCCAGCCTTTAAACGTTTTGGGTTCTTATAGTTTAGTAGGAATCGGAAAGCTTGACCTTCTATTTCTGCGGCCTGTTGGGGAAGCAAGTGCAGCAAGGAGCAGCGAGAGCATCGCTTTACCAACTCGGTGCATCAGATCGTGCGCCAGGGGGGAAA